CATTTTATTTGTTCATATTTCATTTCATTTTATTATTATTTTTTTCATATTTTATTTTTTTTTTTTTAATATTTAATTTACATAATTTATTATAAATCGAATGTATTATCAGCGAATGCATATAAAAATGAAATATTATAGTTACGAACCACACGATAAGTACAAAAAACCGAGTTTCTATAGTTGGCAGCGCTCGTAGCAGAGTGGGTAAGGTACTGGACTTATATGCAGGAGGTCAAGGGCTTAAATCTCATTATTGGAAAGTGTTTTTTTTCTTTTTTCTTTAGAATTGTGAAAGAAAAAAATTAAAAGTCAAATAAAAATTATTGTATGAAAATAACATTAAAACTCGTTTAAAAACTAATTTGTTTGGGAGTGTGAGGGGGAATGGTGGGCTAAGGTGTGTAGGAGAGTAGGGCGGTATGGTTAGAAGATACAGGGTGGTGTGTAGGGGACTGATGGTGAGGGCGATGGCGTAAGGGGGAAACTTAGGAGGAAGCGACTTTCGGTAAGCCACTTCCATTTCATCAAATCTGTCGGTTTTAAAATTCGAACCCCCCAAATACGCGACATAAAGAACTTCGTTCTAAAATATTATTTTTTGTCATGTAAATATTTATATGCAATATACATAACTTTCTAAAGTACAAAATTACAAAACTTATAATTTAAAAGTGAAAATAAAGTAGTTATATTAAACCACACAATTCTTATTTGGAGATAGAGTGTGAGGGGGTTCGTGCGCGAAGCGTGCTGAAAGCGAAGCCTCACTAGTATATATAATAATTACTTTGGAAGTACTAAATTTGATATAAAAATTATGATGATTGATTTGGTTAATTGATGTATTTATTCTGTTTTGTATGCGTTATCGTGTAGTTATATTTTACGTACAAAAGACAGAAAAATGGCATGCTGGGATTCGAATTTAACATGAGCAAAATTAACAGTTCCTTCGAAAAGTACTTAATAAATGGTTACAGAAGGTTTGAGTTAACTGTAAGGGGGGAGCTAGAATAACAAAGTAAGATAGGGTCTTTTAGTGAGAATTAATTTAAGCGGTATGATGTGGTGCCGGCAAATAAATATGAAGCTCCCAAGCGCATGCGTGACATAATAGTACCATCTTACTCTCTTGCATGTGTTGATACTACCTAGTCATGACTTATTTCGCTGTTGTCTTTACTCTCGTTTGTTCTACATAATTTAGCAGCTATTTTACCATGCGCTCACTCCTGTTCGCGCTCTATTTGCCCAGTTTTGTGTTATCTTGGAACTTATATTGATAATTATGATTAGGAGTTTGAAAGTCTTTTAAGTACGTACTATATGAATTTGTGGTACTTATACGAAGGCCCTGAAAAGAACATTTTTAGGATATCAAAAAACGGTAGTACTAACTAAAATTGAGTTAAATCGACCTCTTGATACCGCATGTTAGTTTATTGATGCTTATTTCATGACAAAATTCAAGTTTTTTTTAATGGTCTCAAATTAATTTAGTAGTTTCTGCGAAAATTGCAAAGCACTGCTGTTTTGGCCGCTTTGTAAAAAATGTATAACTCTGGTTCCTTTGCATATCAATCTGAAGGGTTGAAATTTTGAAACCATTTTTCTCTAGTAAGACTTAAGGTATGCTGAAAATCTTGCGTTGATTCAATTTTTAGTTTTTCTAAACCATCGTTTTTAGCAAAAATGGTCTTTTTGAAAAATGGCTAAATTGAAGTTTTGAGACCACACAGGTCAATTATTCGAAAGCGCTTTTATTGCTTGAGAGTTACTGTATCACTTAACTAAATTTTGTACTTCTTACTTTTTAGCAGGCCATGGAAACGTTAATTCAATAAGACAGTTATTGCCGCTAGAGCTCGGCAGTGCGCCAGAGCAGTGGGTGCTCAGCAAGGAAGTAGTTGTGGCCTATTTCTGTGGCTAACACTATCACACACTGCTGTGGAGCTCTGCTGAGCGTGAACGAAAATATCAATTTTTGTAAATACCACATACAGTAACGCTTTGGGATGCTGAAATTTTACTTTGCACCCATCGTACGAAATGTTTTATTCTGGCTGAAAGTACTTTTCCGCAAAGTAATTAGCGCATACATATTGTGGAAGAAAAATGTTGTTCACAATACAGGAACAAACGCACAGCAGCCGTGACCTTCAACGTGTTGGTTATACTTTGCGCCCATACTTTGATAACTACTGCTATTTTAAAATACGTTAAATGTTTACTGTCTAAAACGGTTTAAGATGAAAATACATCCTATTTAAAAAATGTGCTGGCACGGACGCTCGCACGAGTGTGTATGTGTGTGTATGTGTGTGTGTAATCTGTTATAATCTTTAAATCTGTATTCGGTCATACGAGGCTTATAATTTTGATTTATTTGATTATTTATAATTTCAACGATTTGTTTGTATAATTTTGATAAGAAATATTTAATGTCATTGTTGAAATAATACTGCCTCATTTGGCATCGAAAAATCTTTTTTTTTAATTCTCAATCGTCGTTATCAATTATTAATTTTTGTATCATCAAAGTACTAACATTTTTCGATGCAATACTGGAATTTTTTTTTTTTAACTAATCATATTTTAGTATCCCGTTAATAGATTTTACTAATTTAAGGAATTAAATGTTCTTATAAGTTATGGCAGCTAAGAGATGTTATAGTTTTTGTCGTGGACAAGGATCTTAAAACAACTTTTAAATTTAAAAAATAATTTTCAGCCTTTTTCGAGTAAAAAATTTTAAACTTGATTTCTGAGACCATTTTATGTCATATAACAAAAAATAGCTTAACTTTGTACTCCAATTTATTTCCGTGGGTAATTTTTTTGTATTATTATNCTATACAATGTCATCTATTATTATTATTATTATTATTATTAATAGTAGTAGTTGTAGTAGAAGTTGTAGATTTAAAAGTAAATACTTCAAATTAAATTGAAAACTATAAAACTATTTTGTATTTTACATTTTTTGTGTTTTTGCGCAAATATTTATCGTTAATTATGATGTGTGACATTACGCAACGTAAACTTTTTTAGTTGCTGTAAGAGCTATTTACTACATGTTATGATTACAAGGTTGTGAGAAAAAAGTAATTAGTGTTACAATCATTTCTTCTGGTTTTAAATTAAACACGATTCGAATAAAAAGAAAAAAATATAGTATGGAGTAAAAAAAACAAAAATCTATTTACAAAACAGAAACAACAGGCAAGTTCGTTGTGCCCACACTTTACTATTGATTGTTTTATACCCATATAGTTATTTCTCTACTTACGATGTCACAACGTAGTGTTATATTAAAATATTTTAATCAGTTACAAAATGTACAAATTTTAAGTGTTCGGTTTTGTACTAATAAAAAGTTCCAACAAATAAATTATTACAAGGATCAGAATGGCAGAGACCACGATGCAAAATTTTGAAAATATTTTACGTAAGACTTTACTTCACCCTAACATATAGCTTTTTTTTAATCCAAACGTATATTATAGCTACATTTTAATTGTAGAAAAGTCTGTCAACATGGTTATAAACTAGATAGATGTTTCGTACTTACTATAAGATGATAACAATATCTTCAAAAATTGGTGTATTGCTACCAACAATCGCTGTACTTCATCAAAAGTTATGAAAACACTCCTCAAAACCTCAAAAAGTCAAAACACTAACACACAGGCGCAATTTACATATCTTCCTATATTATATAGTGATTTTAGAGGGTCATTTCACACACTCCCCCTCCACTCCTCCCCTGCCTACCCCCAGTCCTCCTCTAAATAAAGTAAAATTCTAATAGTTTTTACGTAATTTTCATTGAGTTGAACTATTGATCAGCCCCCCATCCACCTCTCTTCAACCATCCTCAGCGCCCCGCTTAATTTTAATGACCCCCTTGCAGCTCGTTCTTCACACCCCCTCAGCCGCCCTCTAAGTAAAGTAAAATTCTATATTTAGACTTGATCTTGGTAATTTGGAGCATGGCTATTTATTCATAATTAAATTACATAATTCAATATTTCGCTGTCCTTCGGACAACCTCTTCAGGATTAATATTCATGCAGATGCTAAGACAGCACGCATCATCGACACCTATGGCGCTTGTTACTACGTTTACATATTACAACACTTTACTTAGGTCTAATAACAATCACGTTCTTAAAAATTAAGTTAAGAACATAAAATTTTTTTTGGAAAAGACATACTCAGACCGCACTGACCAGGAGAATACAAAAAAACATTTTTCTACTCCTTGTTTTTTCACATATCCTCAGTATGTGTCTATGGTCCTCTTTTTCTTCCTGACACAGTCTACACATCTTTTCATTCTCTTCTTACCAGTATTCTTTCCCTTTACACTCATTTCTGCATCTAAATCTTGCCACCAGTCTCCTATCTGTATTTGTCACATCCTTTTTTCGGTTTTCTGTTTCTTCCTCTGTTTTAATGTATCTACATATCTTGTTGTATCTTGAATTTTCTATCTTCTCCATTCTTTTTTCTTTTTCTTTCTGTTCTTTGCTAGCCACTATTTTTTCTCTTATTTCTTCCTTAAATTCTACTCCTTTCATGTATCTTGTTTTATTTACCTTTTCTTCTTTTAGAATTTTTAGTCTCTTCTTTGATCCTCTTCCTATAATCATTCTTACTTTGTTCTTATCATTTTCTCTTATACCTTTTTTCACTAATTTTATATTTGATTTCCTGATTTTTTTTTCAAACATCAGGGCTCTTAATGCTTTTATTTTTAGCTTCTCCATTTTACACTCTTCTTCCATTATGTAATTTGAAGTGTTACTGTCTAATCCTAGTATCCACTTCAGGTATATTCTTTACACACTTTCCAGCTTTCATCTTCTTTCCATCTTCATTTCTCTGCCCCAAATAGTGCTACATTTTCCACATTTGCTGTAAAAAGTTTCTTCCTCCTGTTATAACTGTTCTTAGATATTTACTCACCTATACTCTATGCATTCTTCATAGCAATTATTGTTTTTTTTCTTCCTCTCTTCCATGTATCTTTCACTGGTGCTATTTTTCTGTAGAATAAATCCAAGATATCTTATTTCGGCTACTTCTTCTTAATTTTTTGCTCCCCACTTCCATCTTTTTCTTCTTTCTTTTTTCAAGTACTAGAATTTTAGTTTTTGTATTACTAAAGATCAGTTTCTTCTTTTCAATGTACTTTTTAAATCTTTGTAACATTTTCTTTAGTTCCTCTTTGCTGTCAGCTATTAGCACAATGTCATCTGCATACAAGAGGCACCACATTTTTTCATTCCCTATACTGCATCCTCCTACTTGCCTTTTTCTTAGGTCTCTTTCCAGGTCTGCCAAGTATACATTAAACAAAGTTGGGCTCAAGGAACGTCCCTGCCTCACTACTTCTTCAGTCCAAAATTCTTCTGATACTCCTCTGATACTCCTTCATCTACTTAAATTACATAACTTGATTTTTTATAAATATTCATAATTCCATTTTTTAATCTTTCACTCACCTCTATTTCTACAAGTCTTTCTTCTAGTACGTCCCTATCAACACGATCAAAAGCTCCTTTAAGATCTATAAAACAAGCAAAAACCTTTCCTTTTAGTTTGCTCAGCCTATCCTTTACTATATGATTAAGCTTGGAAATTGCTTCTATTACTCCTCTCCCTTCTTTAAATCTGAACTGAGTTTCTAGTAATTTCTTTTAATTTTTTTCTTTAACAATCCATTTAGTATAGTAGCGTATATCTTATATGTCGTGCAAGTTAGTGTTACTCCTCTGTAATTATCCGGCTTATTCTTATCTTCTTTTTCATACATTGGACAAATTACTCTAGTTTTCCATTGATCTGGTATTTCTCCTTCTTTCCTTACTTTTTTCATCAACTCTTATACGGCTGTCTCTAGCTCTTGGAGCATATATTTTCAGACCTAATTTTCTAGCTTATCTTCTCCTGGTGCTTTCCTCAGTTTCAACTTGTTGATCTGTATTTCAAATTCTCCTTCATTGAATTCTTCTTGCTTTTCTGTGCTTACACTTAAACGCCCCTCTTCTTTTCTTGATTTCCTAGTAACATAACCTTTTCGTTATTACCATCCAACTTTTCTATACAATGTCATCTCCAATCCTGCATTTTTATACTCTTATTTATTTCTTCTTTTCTTTTTCTGAATCTGTTTATATGCTTTCACACTTCTCCTTCCGCTGTTGCTTTCCTCAATTTTTCCTCTTCATTTCTTTGCAGACTCATCTTTTTTGCTTCGCACCAATTTGTGTATTCTCTTTTTTTTGTTATGAAGTATGATCTTTTCACCTTCTGTTTTCTCCATAGTTTCATCGTCTTTCTTAACTGCTTCTTAGCTTTCCATTCTTTGTCATACCATCTCCTCTTTCCTAATTTCCATGTTTTTATCTGTTTTTTAACCTAAGGCACTGATATTTCAACCATTCCTTTTATTTCACTCCATCTTTCGTTTACTTCTTTTCCGTTTATCTTCCAATCCTCTTATCTTTCTTGAAACTGATCAATTAGTTCTTGAGACCATTCTCTCAGTGCTTCTCTTTTTTCATCCTTTTCCTCTTCTGTAGTTTCTATTTCTTTCACTAAATATACTTTCATCGGTAGGTGATCCAACTCCGTTCTTGATCCGATTCTTATCAGTTCAATTTAATCCAAAACCTCTTGATTTCCTTTAACATAATCAATTACAGTTTCATCTCTGCTGCCAACATATGTAAAATCTCCTTCTTTCCCTTTTTGTTCATCCACTATTTTTCATTCTTCATCTGTAATTTCTTTAATCAACCTTTTTCCTTTCTCATTTATTGTTTCATCCTTGGATTCTTTATTTCTACTTCGTTACTTTTCTAGTCTGTTTCGTTAACCCAACCTCCTTTTCTTCCTGTGTCTGCGTTCCAATCTCTTACTATAAATACTCTTTCATCATCTTGCTTTCTAATATTTTTTTTTTAATTTCCATCGTTTCTACTACCTTTTGACTGTATACTCCAATAATTTTCTATTCTGGTTCTCCATTTTTAATCTCTTGCATTATTATATTTTCATTCCATACTTCGAATTTCTTACTCTCCATCTTTTTGTTTAGTCCTTTAATTATTCCTGCTTTTACTCTCCTTTTCTTATGTTTTCTTACCGCTCATACAAAATTCTTTTCCAACCACGTTTCTACTAACACTATTATGTCGAAGTCATTTAGTTGATTCCACACCCCACTGTCCTTATTTAATACACCTGCTATACTCCAAACACGTACACTTATGTTACATTTACTTTTTCCCTCCACCTGTTTCTTTTTTTGCGCCCATCATTTTTGTGACTTTTTCATTTTATTTTCTTGAATCTTCTTTCTATCGTGCGTAAATTCGCCGCTCCACTTGTTGTATCTGAACCATTGCTCGTTGATCATTATTTTTATGTAACCCTTTTTTTGGGATTTTTCCATTGTTTCTCTTCTCTTTGGATTTATCAAGTATCATTCTTTTGATTTTCCTTTCTTTCCCAGTCAATTCGTTTTTAATATACATCCCTTTTTCCAGCTTTTTTTTTGCCATGCGCCTATCCTTGATTTTCTTGTTTTCTAGTTCTACTATTACTAATTTTCTCTCTCTTCTTCTTTTATTAAAAACAGTTTTATTCGCCTTTTCTACCTCTACCTTGGCGTTTATTTTCTGTCCAATATATTTTTCCACTTTCTTTTATTGATTGTCTTATTTAATAGATGCCCCTTTTATCACTATATTCTTCTTTTTTTTAACTCTTTTACATTTTTCTTTTTCCCATTCCAATCTACTAAGGCTGCAGTCACATGGAGTGCAATAGAGCGGGCAGGATAGAATTCTCCCTATAAACGACTGTGTTAAATCTATTGCGCCGCGCAATAGGGCTATCCTGCAGCGCAATAGAATTGACTCATTAGCTTATGGGGACAATTCTATGCTGCACGCTCTATTGCGCTACAGCCTAACTCTCTTTTCTAGCGATTTCCTCGTTTTGTCCATTTCTGTTTCTCTTTATCCGATTTGGTTCTATCTCCTCTCCATTCTTCTTCTCTACTTTCTAATCTGACTGATACTTTAAATATGCTTTCTAACCGCTTTTCCATTCTGCTTAACCTGTCATCATTCTCTTTCATGTCACCGTCTTTTTGAAAATTCAGGGTAGTGTATGCATTACTCTTCGTGTTTACACTTATTCTTGCCTTTGTCGACATTTTTAGAGTTTTCTGTCCTGTTGGTATCACATAAAATCTGTTTCATCGACACTACTGTTGATAAAGCAGGGCCATATCTACCGATCACAGTTAGTTTAGTTATCTTCCTTTCCAACTTATTTCTGAGGTAATCTCTTTCGTTGCATGTTCCTCTTCACTATGTTTTCATTAATCTTCTCAAATTATCCACTGTTGTGCACGTAGAGGTCTCCCTTATTCACTGCGCAGCTTCTTTATCCACCTGTCTTTAAGGCATGACCTCTTTTCATCTTTCTCTCATTTCTAACCTCATGTTTTCACCTGTTCACTGTTTTTTCGGTTTTTTCACTTTTATAGTCACTTTTTTAATTTTGTACTTCTTTTACTTTTTGCTTCTTACTTACTTGCAGCTCTTCAAAGAAGATTTTTACTATCGTCCACCGCCTCGCTGCACGCGTTTTCACACACTTCTGTTCTAACTTTCAATTACTAATCTCACTCCATCCATTAACTTTACTTTAACTTCTCTTTTATTTTCCTCTAACACTATTCATGCTTGCTGTCTACAACTCTCTGCACCATTATTTAATTAATCATCACTTATTTATTCTTTACTTTTCATTTTTCTTCGCCGCTCTTGACACGTCCTCTCTTTATCAGGTACCAAACGAAAATTTCTCATTCTTATGACTTCTTTGAAAATTCTTATCTATACCTAATATTAGGCCTAATAAGAATATAAGATGTTAAAGTAAAGTGGAAAGAACCTGTTAGTCTTTTTTTCCGGGAACACTATATAATTAATAAAATAATTAATAATGTTTTTTAAATTTTATCTCTTTAGATAGTGACGGCGATTCGAAACGAGGCAAAAAAAAGTGTTAATTGATAAAAAAACTATTTATTAAATTGACACTAACTTTGTTTTAACTTTTGCATTACTAAACAAAATTTTTTCATTTTTTAACTTCAAAAATCAAACTGAAAAGATAAAGTGTTTAAGAGATTCAAAAAGTGGGTGGTTGGTGAGCGAAGTTTGGAGGAGAGCGAAGCCCCACTACTATACAAATTGCTATATTATATAGTTGTGAGGCCGGGATTCTCCATACAACCCCCTTCCCTGCGCCGCCTCGCGGTCCCCCCACAACCCTTCTAAAAATAAGGAAAAATTCGTATACTGTCAATGATATTTTAACCCAACAAAATAATAGCCGAAGACCCACGAAGCCCCCCGCACAATTTTCAAAGCCCCCCACGATCCCTTAAAACCCCCCGACCCATTAAATAACTCCTTTAGTTTTCAATGAGCCCCCCCGCCACTCCCTGCACGATTTTAAGAGCCCCCGCGCCGTCCCTCCGCACCCCCTCCCACTATATGTTTTGTAAGCTGTAGCTAGCAATCGCAAGTCACAGCTCATACAACTTACGGTAAACGATCTCTTAGCTATATATAATTATCTATTTTTCCACACCGCCCAGGAGGCAAACAGATCGATTTTGTACTTATCAACAAGAAGTTCAAAAAACACCAAGTGTAAGCTGTAGCTAGCAATAGCAAGCCGCAGCTCCTACAACTTACGGTAAACGATCTCTTAGCTATATATAGTTATCTACTTTTTCCACAACGCCCAGGAGGCAAATAGATCGATTTTGTACTTATCAACAACGAGTTCCAAAAACACCAAGTGTAGTTATTAGTTTATATAAAAATAAATAGGTATAAAATCTGAGGCAGGTTGACTTTTTTTGTTTGTATTATTTCTTTCTTACATTGAGTTTTGAATACATACGTGCAATCGTCAATGTAACATGATATGATCACACATATTCATTGAAACTCAAGTAGTAAAAAAATAATAAAAACCGTAGTCATCGCCAGTAGCCCTATAAAACCACAAAGAGACAGAAGTTTCCGATGCCCGATTTACAGAAAAAAAAAAAAACTATTAATAGACATAGCAATTGATTAAAACTTTATTCGCATTTCTATACATATGTTTGTAATTTTTTTTTTCTTGAAAAACCTGTCTGTCTCAAACCTATTCCTTTTTATGTATACGAATCAAAAAAC